AAGGGATAAACTTTTTCATTTTATGTTATGAACGAATGGACTTACCCACTGTGCAGCAGAATTCAGACGCAAGTATTTACAGTTGGTCCGAGCTATTCCTGCCTGATCATGATTTAGATTACGTTAATGTCCATTAAGTGAGTGGTGCTACAACTAGCTTCGTGTGAAAATTCATTGATATGAAAGTGTACAAGGTCGATTCGGCGCTTAATTTCTTTAGTCAAAACAACCAAAAGAACCTTTGAACTATTATGACGGACTAGATGTCGAAATTTGGGAGGTTGTCGACCAAAAAGATGACTCGGCCTCATTCAGGACTGAAGAACAGGCTGTAATGTTTCATTCTAAAGACTGCCTTTGGAGGTCGATATCTTTACTGATTCAAAGTTCGGCTTGCCAGTTGTCCCAATTCGGCTTTGTTTTCCGAATACTAAGAAGCTTTGTACAAAGGAACGGGACGCAACAAAGCTCATTATTATTTTCGCTTGGAATGCCGAAAGTTTCAAATCCCATTCCGGCTGATTTTATAATTGGCGACTAGTAAAATACGAGAACCCAGTCTTTATCAGTGTCGGTAATGAACCAACCGTTTTTCTTCCTTTTCTACCCCACTGATTCGACCACCTTCCTATCTGCGCCCTTTGAGCCGTTAATAGCAAGTGACTGAGAAAGACTACAGGGGCTTTTAGAATTGACGGCCGAAATAGCGTTTACATCAGACTGCCGTCGTTTGTATATGGGATATGAACGTACGTTTGGCTGACACGCCTCCCATACAAAATCGGCTTTTCTTCTATTAATTTAATTCGTAAAGTTCAGAGCACGGGAGAAAATTTTGCAAAACAGTCAAGGAATCATTGTCTGGTTGGCGTGTATTCTGAGCAAGGAGAAGAACGTCAATCGGGGTCCGGATCAAAATATACTCAAAAATTATTGAAGGACGATGGTCTAAGTTTGTAAGGAGAGGAATACAGCGTATGCGTTTTTCTAACTTCAGTGAACTGGCATGCAATCACCTTTCCCCTTTGACGTAATTGAAGGTTAGTAGTAATGGGCAGAAACCTTTGTTACCTGGCGTAGAGAAATTACCGAACTCTAATCAAAAATACGCCGAAGATAGTCCTATGCAATCGATTTCCCAGTTTTCCTATTTTATAAAGCTATCCAAGGAGGAAGAATGAAAATAAGTGTATCATGCACCCACAGCAATCCCGCCGATGCTTATGCCCTACTTAAACTATATGCAACTAGACATTTCCTTCTGATGTCAGCTTTCTCGACAAAACACTAATACTATATATCTGGATTGACTAGTTTTATACTATTTTATACAGTTTGGTGGTAATAAGCGAGCTACACTTTCACATGGTAGGACTTGTACATTATTTTGCACACACTCTATTATTATCCAAATGCTAATCACTATTATCCCAAACAGATTAGGAGTGCATACTGGGTGCGAATTCTTAAAAAGCACACACAGGCAGTACTTATAGTATACTATCTACTAGCCTTAGCAGGCATGAGTAATGGAAACTAGCAGTCGTAGTATAGGCACGTACCTATAACAGCAGTATCTTAGTCTGTGCAAGCTCGATGGATAGAGTTGAGAGTGCGGAAACCAAGGCAAACGCTCTTCTGCTCAGGGCTCAAATCATGTACTCACTCGAAATAGTTTAAACCCAGATTCACACCCCTTGTTGAGACAAGGGGGTATGAGTCTCAGAGCTTTCTTCAAACCAGCGTCACTTCTGACAAATTTTAGTGTCAGAGATAGTACTGATACTAAAACTCGGCTACATCGATAGCCGTGGTAGTAGTAGTAGTAGTAGTAGTAGTAGTAGTAGTAGTAGTAGTAGTAGAAACACTAGTAGCCGTATCAGTCTCGACCTCCTTGGGCCTGTCTTCACACCTACTATAGGTGAGTGAGGGCAGATAGTACAGTAGTATCCGTGCAAAGTCTACTGTCATTTAAGACTAAGTTAGGCGGTGTATTAGCTTGCATTTGATACAGCAGCCCGCGCCGGACCCCCGTTTAGTCTTCAGACTCCGGGAGAAGGTGAAGAGTGCGGAGCCGCTAACTACGTCCTCTATCACCTTAAGGCTAACCCCTGAGACTGTCACCTTTTGTACCAACTTGTTGGTGCACTCGGGATCGCCTTATCTTCTCATCTATTTCCGGGGACGCGCATTTTCGCTTCTATTAGCAATATATATATCGCATTGCCACTGCGATCTTCAGGAGGGGATCCGTAAGGGGAGAGAAGAGGCGAGATACCATGTGGAAGAAGTAGTGCAGTCTGTATAAGAGGCAGTGGAAAAAAGATTGGAGGAGGGTGACAATCGGACTAGTGCCCAACCACCCGCGAGGGGGGCTGGTGTCCGAAGTGTGTGAGTGTGACAGTCGTCGCGGTGAGGTTCTATGCCAATCTTGAAGGTGATTAACCAGACTGGATATTGGTCGACCTACAATTGCGCATGTGATAGCAGTCGCGAGAGGCAAATATTTGAA